GTGGTGTGATCTCAGCTTACTGCAACCTCTGCCTTCTGGGTTCAAGAGATTCTCATGCCTCAGCCTCCTAGGTAGCTGGGATAATAGGTGCCTGCTACCATGCGTAGCTAATTATTGTATTTTTAGTAGAGACAGCGTTTCACCACGTTGGCCAGGCTGGTCTCGAACTCACGACCTCAAGTGATCCACCCACCTCAGCCTCCCAAAGTGCTGGGATTACAGGCATGAGCCACCACACCTGGCCTATACCTCTTCTTTCTTTCTCTTGTCTGATTGTCCTAGCTGGTACCTCCGAAACACTGCATAATAGTGGGGATAGTAAATGCCCTTGTTCTGTTCTTGAGCTTAACGGAAATGCTTCTGGTGTTTCCTAATTAAGCTTGATACTAGTTTTGGAGTTGAGAAAGTTGTATTTTTATGATATTGAAGAATTATCCATCTACCCTATTTTGTAGAGAAGTTTTATTAAGAATGTATATTGCGTTAGGTGTTGTTGGTTTGATTTAAGTGCCTCCTGAGTATGGCAATAGGAAATACCCAGCTATACCATGGTATATACTTGAAAAAAAAGTTAAATCTGACCTTGAATCTAATGAAACCTGTAGATCAGTGGTTCCCAACTAAGGGTGCTTTTGCCCCCTCAGAGGACATTTGGCCTTTTGGCAACGTCTGGAGACTTTACTGTGTTTGTCACAACTGAGTTGGAGAGAGTGCTACTGGCATTTAGTGAGTAGAGGCCAGGGATGTTGCTGGACAATCTGCAGCGCCTCAGACAAGCCCCCGCAGTGAAGAATTGCCCCAAATGTCAAGAGTACAGAGGCCAAGCAACTCTTTTCTAGATCTCACTCCCAGTTCACAAGAAACATGAAGGACATAGGGACATTATGATAAACTACATCACCAGAAAGTCCTCTGTGTAGTCCATGCTATGAGAGATTCTGCAAGGCAGATGGCCTGGTATCTTCAACAGATACATGCATGATGGGCGACTGGAAAGAAAGAAGAGCTATTATAGATTAAAAGAGACTTAAGAGACTTAGCGACCAAATATGAAATGTACATCTCATTTGGATCCTAATTTGAATAAGACATGTCTGCAAAAATCAAGCAAGTTTAAGTTAGGAGAATACATGAAACAAGATTGGCAAGATGCCAGCAATCAGTTATTGAAACTAGATGGTACAGATTCATCACATTTTTATTTATAATTTTGTCTTTGTTTAACAACTTCCATAATCAGAAATTTTAAAATGAATATTGATTTTTTTTTAGATTTAGTCGCAGCAACACCAATAAAAATATGCCTTTTCTCTTTCGATCCTTTGAAATGGTGACTCAATAATGAATCTCCTAATACTGAACTGTCTGTATTCCTAGAATAAGCCCCTCTTAAAAGAATGAGCACATGCTGGTGCACAAATAAGGTTTATAGAGTGTGTGCCCAAAAGCTTTAAGTGCCTAAAATTTTTATACAAAGAGGATTGTCAATAGTCAGAATTCTATTTTCTGCATAAACAATAGAGAATTCAGTGGAATTCCACTAATTCCATCCAATATGAAATGCTAGGCAGCCTTTAAATATTTTATTATAGTCATTTAATAGAAAGGTTAAATTATATTAACAGAAGACTTCCATGATTCCAATTTTATAAAAGTAATATCTGTATTTTTAAATACTGGAAAATAAACATCAAAATAATAATGCTTATATCTAGCGATAAGGCTATGATTGATTTTTTTTGTTTTGTTTTTTTCCCTGTGTATTTCTAATTTTCTATAGTAAATTTTTGAAATCAGGAAAAAAAGTTATTTACAAAATTAAAGCAGTTCACCTATCACCCAAATCTTGGTTTCTGCTACCTTTCTCTAAGTAAAAGAACTAGAGAAATTATCACTGTAGTCTAGGACTGGGATGGGGAATAAAGTGATCCTGGAGTGACTCATAGGGCCGGCAAGTAAAGAAGGCTCAAGAAATGAAACTTGGGGTGTGGCAGCAGGACATGGGAGCCCACCACAGAGGCTCAGGAGGGAAGGCTGCGGGAGTTTGAGCAACAAAATAAATAGTGCAATACAGAATTATATCCCAAAGTATAAATACCCATGTTTCCACACTGATGTACATAAATGGTTGAGTAAACAGGTGGGTAGGAATAGACACATCCTGTGCAGAAGAAATCCCTGTAATTGACGTAGATGCCCCTCCCTCAGGAGGCAGGTGGTCATTCCAGCTCTTAAGTGTGAGCTGCATGCAGTGACTCCCTTCCCAGTTGTTCGCTATGGAAACAGGGTTGAGAAAGAGGAGCTTGACCATGGAGAAACCTGACTGCAGCCAGGTGAGGAAGGTCAGGGGCGAGTCCTCCTGAGACTGGGATGTGGGGAGGACAGTGCTTTTCCTCTGTGGCCTTTCTCCCAAGAACCCATCAGCTCAGTCTAATTGCAGACAGCCCCAACTCGAGGAACATTTTACAGAATATCTGACCCATATTCCTCAGCTCTGTTAAGGGCATTAAAAACAAGGCAAGTTGTCTGGACTTGGTGGCTCAATGCCTGTAATCCCAGCACTTTGGGAGGCCGAGGTGGGCAGATCACCTGAGGTCAGGAGTTTGAGACCAGCATGGCCAACATGGTGAAACCCCCGTATCTACTGAAAACACACAAATTAGCCAGGCGTGGTGGCGCACATCTATAATCCCAGCTACTCAGGAGGCTGAGGCAGGAGAATCGCTTGAACCTGGAAGGTGGAGGTTGCAGTGAGTGAGACCTTACCAGCGCACTCCAGCAGAGTGCCAGAGTGAAACTGTTTCCAAAAAAACAAGGCAAGTGGGAGAAACAGTTGCAGTCTAGAAGATCCTAAGGAGAAGTGAGGATTAAAAGCCATGTGGTATCCTAGATGGGTTTGTGGAACAGAAACAGGATGTAAAGTACAAACCAGGGAAATCCGAATAAAGTGTGGACTTCAGTTCATAATGATGTAAGGAACATTGGCTCCTGAGTTGTGGCAGATGTACCCCAGGAATGTAAAGGGAAATAACTTTTTTGTATATCTGTAACGATTCTAAAACAAGAAGTTTTTTGTTTTGTTTTGTTTTTTAAGGAAAACAGTAAACAATAGTTCATCACTCTTATTTTTAAAAGGTTAGAATAATATTAGAGATGTTCTATTGGATAAATTTGTAATTTCTGGTGTTTACTTTCGGACCCAGTTTTTTCAGAATTATGAAATTCTTGTTGCATAAGCCTGACTTGTCACTGGGGGATCATTCTGGATAAAGAATTTTCTGGTGAGGACTCAGGACCACAGTCTGATTATAAGTGAGGAGGCGAGCATCTAAGGAGCCAGCATTTCGTGTCTGTTTCCCCTTTGCATAAGATAAAAATTAATGTATGAAAGCCCGACATACATAAAGGCACCTTGGTAGAGGCACTAGGTGGAAGGGAGTGGGCATCTCTTGCGTGGCATCAAGCTGGGTGCCCAGCCACCATAGTGGAGGGCAGTTGCCCTTTTCAAGCAACTGATCCAGAAACATTTGAGTAGGGGACTGTAACCACACCACACTACACACCACCATCATGTGACCAGTACAGTCACAGAGGCAGACACTGAGTTTAATGGCTTGGGGGTGGAGAAGTTGCCAGCTGCCCACCCTGTGATAAAGATGTTAGTGAAAATTCTATAGATTTATTGAGGTTTGTCAAAAAAAATTGCTGCATCTAAGATACAAATGGGCAAAATAAAATGAATTAAGGTTAGTTTTTTTGTAGTTAAGAATGAAATGTAGTGATTCAGTTGTATCCTGCCAGCTGTAGTAAAGTCTGAAGGGGAATGCAGGCTATAAAAGCTTAAGGAGAATAGGGAAGCAAATTTTTAAATATTTAAATAATGAAACATCAAACATTTTACCACATTTTGAAGAAATAAAACATTGTAGATATAGCGAAAGCCTCACTTTCTAACTTCTTCACCCCTTCTTCCTGAGAGGCAACCCCTTGTCTTGATAGTGATGTGTATCATTTCAGGCATTCGTGAATAACTTTTCTATGTGCATAACATATATGTGTGCATATATACACATATATGCATGTGTTCAGCAATACATACTGTTGGTTTTGGTGTTTTAACAATTTATTTAAATTATGTACCTAACAGATCTTTTTATTTTTCTTTTCACTGATCATTATTGACACCGGTTCCTGGTGCTAAGTGTAGGTCTCGTGGGGGTTTTTTGGTGTGGTTTTTTGTTGTTGTTGTTGTTTTGTTGTTGTTTCCACTTTATAGCATTCTGCTATATGAACATAAACCAATTTGTTTCCATATCCTTGTGGAAAAATAGTGGCTGTGGTTTGTATCCTTTTTTTGCTGTTCATGGCTAGGATGATTCTTGTATGTGTGTCCTTGTGAACACCGGATTTGTGGGGCTACAGGTATGTGCCACTTCAGCCTTAATAGGTACTGCCAAATTGCTCTTCAGAGTGCCATACATACAATTTGTACTTTTCCATTTTTCCACATCTGTGAAAAATCTTACCAGATTTATCAGATTCCACATCTTTTCAGACTTACTTATCTTTGCCAGTCTGACGGGTGCGATACATTTCCCTGATTGTTAGTGAGATTGAACATCTTTTCATATAGTTGAATTTATTAGAAATTCTGTCAAGAATTGCCTTTTAGGCTGGGTATGTAATCATAGGCTGGGTATGTAATCTTAGCACTTTGGGAGTATGAGCTCAGGAAGTCAAGGCTGCAGTGAGCTATGATCGCACCACTGCACTCCAGCCTGGGCAACAGAGCAAGACCCTGTCTTCAAAAACAAACAAACAAACAAACAAAAACTGCCTATGTATTGCCTGTAAGTGGGCTGGTGTTTCTTGAGATCAGAGATACTTGGCCTTGGACCTGATTCCTCAGGGTGTGTAATAAAAAAATACTGCTGCATGCTATCAAAAAGTTAAATTGGAGGTGGGTCAGAATAACAGTTTAGTCTGCCCGTATTTAATTGCTTTGCTTACTCCTATGCCGTTTGATTTTCTTTGTGGCTCGTTATTGCTGACTGTGTCTCTTATTGGTGTAGGAAGAAGTTCAGATAAGTTATCTGATTTGTTAGGTTTGTAATTAAGTATTTAACAAAAATGTCTTTGGAAAAGTGCAAATGCATTTCCTAAAAAGATGACAGTTTTACAATACAGCCTAGCAATTATGCTCCTAGGTATTTGCCCAAACAATGACAGCTTTTATCCTTACAAAAACCTGTGCTTGCTGGGAAGCTGAGGCAGGAGGATTGCTTGAGTCCAGGAGTTTGAGACTGCAGTAAGCTATGGTCATGCCACTGTACTCCAGCCTGGGCAAAAGAATGTAAGACCCAGTCTCCAAAACAAAGCAAAACAACTTTGCACATCAATGTTCATATCAGCAATTATTCGTAATTGCAAAAAACTGGAAGCAACCAAGATATTGTTCAGCAGGTGAGTGAACGAACAATGGTACATCCACACAATGGAATATTGCTCAGTGATAAGAATGATCAAGCCCTGAAAGACATGGAAAAACTGTACATGCATATTGCTATTACTCCAGTTATGTGACGTTCTGGGAAAGGCAAAACTATGTAGTCAATAGAAAGATCAGTGGTTGCCAGGGATTCAGGGGCAGGAAGGAAGGATAAAAAGGTGGAGTACAGGGCGTTTTTAGGGCAGTGAAACTATTTATGTGACACTGGAATGGTGGATTCATGGCAGTATACCTTTGTCAAAACACAGAATTGGCTGGGCATGGTGGTGTGAGCTTGTAATCCCAGCACTTTGGGAGCTGGGTGGATCACTTGAGACCAGGAGTTCTAGACCAGCCTGGTCAACATGGTGAAACCCCATCTTTACCAAAAATACAAAAATTAGCCAGGCGTGGTAGTGCATGTGTTTAATCCCAGCTACTTAGAGGGCCAAGGCACAAGAATTGCCTGAACCCAGGAGGCAGAGGTTGCAGTGAAACAAGAACACAGCAAAGCAAGACTGCACTCCAGCCTGGGCAACAGAGCAAGACCCTGTCTCAAACAACAACAACAACAACAACAACAAAACAGAATTGTACAACACAAATAGTGAACCCTAATGTAAACTATGGACTTTGGTTAAAAAAAAGTATCAGTATAGCTTCATCATTTATAACCAGTAGAGCACACCAGTGTTAATAATGGGAGGAACTGGGTACAAGGGAAGAGGAGGCATATGAGGACTCAGTACTATCTGACCAGTTTTTTCTGTAAACCTAAAGGCATGTAAAAACTAAACACTGTTAATTTTTCTAAAAATCCTTCTTTGTTAAATTCAGATTTTACCAAGTGTACCCAACTATGTGAAACAATTATGTTTTTTAATAGAGACATTTTAAGACTATTATTTGTTTTATTTATGAAATCTAAATTGTTGAAGCTTTTTCTTTTTTTTTTTTTTTTTTTGAGAGTCTCACTCTGTCCCCGAGGCTAGAGTGCAGTGACACGATCTCAGCTCCCAGGTTCTGCAACCTCCACTTCCTGTGGTCAAGCGATTCTCCTGCCTCGGCCTCCCAAGTAGCTGGGATTACAGGCATGCGCCACAGCAACCAGCTAATTTTTTGTATTTTTAGTATATACGGGGCTTTGCCACTTTGGCCAGGCTGGTCTCAAATTCCTGACCTCAAGCGATCCGCCCACCTGGACCTCCCAAAGTGTTGGG